CATAAAAACTGGACTCTTTAAGAGCTGTTTGTGTGCAAAATAGAACTGCATGATTCTGAATAAATTGAGTTTTTTTTTTTTTCCCCAATGGAAGTTGTGGTTCTCTTATGATTCTGAAGAAAAAACATTAGACAACTAAACAAAATCACATGTAATTTATGAATAAATGATTCCATGACTCACTCAAGATATACTTGTTTCATTACTGGATGAATCAGCGTTCTTGAACGAATCTCTTGTATGATTCAAAGACAAATAGGCCAACATTTTAACAGCCCCTTTTCGCCACCTACTGGCGTAACAGTGTAATCAATAAATCTTAATTTTTTGTAGCATCAGATTACTTTCAAAATGTGATTTACTCTATTTTAATCGCTACCATACACATCGTACACAGTTTATATCTGAACTATAAACTTTTATCCCAGTACTTCTGTGATTTGAATGTTTGTTACAGAAATAATGATACTGTGTGGCTGAAAAGGTGTGATCGTACTCTGCACGGATAAACCAAGTGATCACAACATTGATCGCACACGTCAAAGGTGGAGGAATGAAACAGATGAATCATTGTAATTTAGGAACAGAGTGTTGGTGGTGACACCTCTGTAAAATCTGCAAACTGTTCTCAGAAAGTATGTGTTGTCAAGTCCACAGTTGCACTTATTTATGTAATAAAATCGCAACTTTTTGCCGTCATATAATCGCACAGGCTAACATCGCGATTGCGATATGATTAATCGTGCAGCACTAAAAACCTGTCCGCATTTTGTTAGGATGAGCTTGGTGGTTTTCAGGGTGCTATGTGGTTGCTAATAGTGTTGTCAAAAGACCCGGTACTTTGGTGCCAAGTCGGTACTTAAAAAATGAAAACGTTACGGTACCAGGTTTTTTTAAGTACCGGTGGTACCGAGTACCCAGTCAACCCGGTTCTTGATGCGCTATCAGAAAGGTGCGCAGATGCGCTCTCTTCATAAAAGCACTGAGACGTGGCGACATCAAAAGGAGGAAACACACCAAACTAACAAAACACTTTAAAGACACCCAGATCAAATGTAAGAGTTCAAGCAGGTAAGTTTCATTTCAATTTTTAATGTGTTTCCCATACATTGATTTATTTGTGGCGCCCGCCACAATATCATAACTGAAGGATTTTCCAAAAGGCTTGATTTGTGAGCTCAGCTGAGCGCTGCTTTGTGTATAGCAGTTACTGGGGAAACCTCTATCTCTCCAGCTTTACAAGCACCTCCCGCTGGCAGAGAATGAATTTGCATATATATAACAGGAGGACATGATGATATTTACTATTTTAACACACCAGAGGCTTTTAAATGAATTGTGAATCTAAAATATGCGTCTTAGAGAATGTACAAATGGTTAACATTGTTTGTGTCATATCAGTCAGAAAAGCAGTTCTGGGCTTTTTTTATTTTAATTTTATTTTTTTAGCTAACTTAGTTGTTATTCTTGGCTGAATAACTCTAGGTTTTCAAAAGCCCTTTAAAATTAAATATGTACACAGTTTGGATTAAATTAAAGTATAGTCAAATTTTTTAATTAGTATGTTTTGCTTTGGTACCAAAATTGGTACAGAGAACCGTGGATTTTCACTGGTTGGTACCGAATACTGAAATTTTGGTTGCTAGTTGCTAAGGTGCTCTAAGTGTTGGTTCCATGTTGCTATGTGGTTGCTGGGGTAAAATCAAGTCAGAAAAAGAAAAATCAAGTGTTGAGCAGTGCAAAACCTGTCACCATGATGCTAGGATGCTGTTGTTGGTTACCAAGCTGTTTCTAAATGGCTGTTTCTAAAAGGTGTTCTTAGTGGTGGATCCATGTTGCTATGTGGTTGCTAGGGTAAAAACAAGTAAAATAAAAAAAGAAACGTGAGTAGCCTACTTGCGTGTACAAAACCCATCACCATGTTACCAGGTGTACCTATTTGGTTGCCATGGTGTTCTAAGTGGTGGTTAGTATGTTGCTATGTGGTTGCTAGGGTAAAAGTGAGTAAGAAAAAGAAAAAGCAAGTGTTTGCAGATGCAAAACCTGTCATCAGGTTGCTAATTTGTTAGTGTAAAAGCAATCAAAAAAAATAAATAAAGGAAAAGTGAATACTTGCCTGTGCAAAACCCCTCACAATGATGTTAAGGTGTGCTTGGTTTCCAGGATGTTCCTATATGATTGCTAAGGTGTTGTAAGTGGTGGTTCCATGCTACTGTGTGGTTGCTAGGGCAACAAATGAAGCCGAAAAAGAAGAAAAGAAACCAAGTGTTTGCTGGTGCAGAGCCTATCACCATGATGCTAGGTAGGGCTGGGCGATATAGCTAAAAAATATATCAACGATATATGTTTCATATCGTTCGGTATCGATAATTATTGACATTTTTTATAACCTGTTTTAAAACAAAGCAATAGAATTTTTTTTTTAATGTAACCACTGATTTTTTATTTGCCCACTTTATTAAGTGTAAAACAAATATAATTTTGTAAACTGCATAAACTATTATGAACAAAACGGCATCATGTGTTTATGCATTGCTTAGCCTAATACAAAGAGCCAAATCGCCGATCACACAGATTGCATTTA